TCCAGATGTCTTTTAAATGTTGTAATCACACTTGCCTCCACCACTTTGTCTGGCAGCTTGTTCCATACACGCACCACCCTCACGTGAAACAGCTACCCCTCAGACCCTTTTTAAATCCTTCCCCTCTCAACTTAAACCTATGCCCTCTAATTTTTGACTCCTCCACTCTAGGAAAAAGACCTTGGCTATTCACCCTGTTCACGTCCCTTATGATTTTATAAACCTCTATAAGGTCACCTCTCAGCCTCCGAAGCTCCGGGGAAAGAGAGCCCCAGCCTATTCAGTTTCTCCCTCAAACTCAAACCCTCCAGTCCTGGCAACATCATTAAGTCTTTTCTGCACCCACCCAAGTTTAACAACATCCTTCCTAAAGAGGGGCAATCAGAATTGAATGCAGTATTCTAAAAGTGACCTCACGAATGTCCTGTACAGCCGCAACATGTCCCAATTCCTATACTCAAATGTTCTGACCAACGAAGGCAAGTGTAACAAATGCCTTTTTCATCACCCTGTCTACCTATGACTCCACTTTTACTAGCCATATAAACTGAAAGCAGATCAATTTCAGTATTTTTGGTTCACTCTAAATTTAGTGGTTTACAATCAAGCAAAATAAAGGGTCATGGTAAATTTACAGTTTATCAAGTAGAGTTGTATTACCCTCCCTGTCCATAAAACTCCTCAATTTCAGAGGCCTTGCTGCCCTTTCCCAAGTCAAAGGAGTTGTGTGTCATATTGTCGACGAGATATTTACTACAGAGGGCATCATAGTCAAGTCCAATGTAGTCCTCACGCAATACTGTAGTTTGAAACAGAAAATCATAAATGACAACCAACATCTAACCACCCTCGCATGGCAAAATTATAGTTTACTATAAACTCCAGTATTCTCAACTATGGATAAAAACACACATGATCCAAATGTTGCACTTTAAAGTGCAAACCACATTCGTTAATACTGTATAATGTGGTTGGTTCTTAACTGCCATCTGAGCAATTAGGGATAGGCAATAAACGCTGGCCTGGCCAGCAATGCCCACATCCTGTGAATGAATATAAAATGATGATTTGCAAAAAAAAAATTCAACTGTTCAAGTTTTTAAAAAGTCATAAACAGGCATTGAAAGAGCTCATCATTTAAAAGTGAACTAACCTCACTTAACCAAGTAGCAAAAAAAAAAGTTAACATATTATTAGAAAAACTTGTAAAATTAATATTACTTCAAATTTGCTGAGTTTCTCAAGGAACAAAATCTGGTATTGCACTACAGTATTTTCTTTAAAATTGAACTACAATGTTCTATACCGATAATAACAGGGAAACCTCATTGATAAAGGGTGTAGGTTGCAAAGAGTATGTGTTAACAACAGGTAAGAATGGGTAGGTTTGCTTCAACACTCCTCATAGCTAAATGTACTTTTCCTGTTGGACAATGAGATCAAGAAAATACAGTCACAGTATAGTGTAGATGTCTTACTGCTACAGTTTAAGACTAGAGAGGAGCTCCCTCCCATAAATATTGTGCAAAGCTGAAATACACAGGAAACAGCGGAAACATGTGTTCGAGAAGAGACGATGTATACTGCAAGGATCATCCTTGAGCAGAAAGAGAAGAGCTGCTCAATGTCCATGACTCAAATAGAACTGCCATAAGAAGTACAAATGTTGTAGGCAAGTTAACCAATGGAACAAGACACTCTAATGTAATGATCTCATTACATGCAATGGAAAATAGACTTGGGAGTGTGGGTTACCTTTCTCCCAATCTGGAGCTGAAACGGAGATGTGGTGGACAAGATGGTCAGATTCCCTTTGACCATAATTTCAGTTTGCATACAGATGACAGCACAGAATCCCCTTGCAGAAACCCAATAGAAGTTTAAGGACAGGACCATTGAGAAATTGGCTAATTCTCCTGGTAGCATCTGCCCTGTGACATTGATTACAATCTCCAAAACTTAAAATACAGTACCTGTACTCACTTTGACAAATTTTCCATGCATAAGATATGGAGATTGCAAATCATTCTGGCAGTTAGCATAGGCCATTCCTATACCCATTCCTGCACCAAAACTAATAGGCCAAACACGCCCTACACAGAAAAAAAAAATTAGATTAGTCTCAAATTCCATAATTGGTATTTTTGTTTAATAGAGGAGGTGGCTATTTAGCCCATTCAGTCTACACTGGTTATTTTGAAAAGTTAAGCAGTTCATCTCACAACCTGATCCTTTCCCCACAACCCTGACATTATTTCCTTCAAGTAATTATCTAGCTAGTGAACTTGTATCCAGCACCTTATAAGGCATTGCATTTCAAATCCATTTACTTTCTTTCTGTTCTGAAGATACAAACGCATATGTGGGTACAGTTCCATTGTCACAGATTGCCTCAAGTGACCATTCTTCATTTGCATTTAGGCCATAATAGTCTACACCCGATTCAATCATGGAGAGGGTACAGTGTGGGGGTTTGGGGAGGGTAGAGAAACAATAAACCCTAAAATGACATTTGCATTACCCAGTATTAACTTGCTAGCTGTGCTCAGTAGGTATAGCCGCTTAGTTGAGTTGACACATCCATCACTACCCTGACAGCAGTGAACTCACACAGACCAAGCATTGTACCCAGGTTGCCTGTCTGTTTAGCATAGTGATAGTTAATGGGGTTGTTAGAGGAGCAAGGCTGTCAATTATTTTCATGAATGTGGCAAATCAGTTTCGCTTTTTTCTGGGTTAGGAGTTACCTATTAAGAAGCATTCTACAACAGCCTGGGAATGGCTCAAATCTCCTGTCTTTATCTTTCCAAACTTTGCTTCTCAGTTATGAAACTCAAATTGTTTATTGATTCATACACACACTTGATAAACAGTGCACAACAATACTTACGTTTAAAAACAACAACAGAAAATACAATTCCTAAGCCAAGGCCAACACCTGAAAAATAAAAACAGAAATTTTTAAAAACTTGAAATTTAACCATCAAAAGCCACAAGCACATCAGTCCTGAAACCATTTAGATAACTGGCATTGTAGCATCTAACATCGCTGTATGTCATAGGTTGAAGAGTCACATGTCTTTTTTGTACTTGTTTTTCATAACCTAGCAACAACCCAATCCATACTGCACTAGTCTTATAAACCTCTCCTCTCACTGGCCTCAAAAATCATCAGGGTGGGGGAGGAGGAGGTATTAAGCAAGTTTTGGCTTTTCATCGTGAAAGAGAATCTTCCTTGGGGGCAACTAACACAATTATAACTTGGAGTCAAGTTATGGTGTTCAACAAATTGCAGGAACTACTGCAGGGGAAAAAACTTCCGCCTGCACAACTGTGAATTTCAGCTTGTCTGGTACTATTAGTCTTTACAGATTGATTGTATAAAGAAACAGACAGGTACCTACTAACTCAAACTAGTAAAATGAACACACTTCAACTTGGTGCTAATTAGTTCCACGTCAGAGACTTTAAGACCAGACCTCCTCACTCCAAAAAAAGTTTACAGTTTCTTTATTTTTTTTTTACATTGAAGGCTCCCTGATGGCTTCATGAGCTTATCTGGGATATAGCTGAGACTTACAAACTAGGAGGTCTCTGATTCAAGCCTTGATCTAGGCTGAATTGGTCAATCTAGGGCAATAACACCACAGAGAAAGAAACTAAGGGGCAGGCTTTCCACTCCCAATAGAATGATATGTACAAGATAAGCATGGGAAAGAGTTGAAAGAGTTAAAAGAGTCAGAGGGATAACTTTTTCATACAGTTTAGTGTGTGTATGGCACAAACTGCCAGAGGAAGTGGAGGAGGTGGTTACAATTACTACATTTAAAAAGGCACCTGGATGGGTATATGAATAAGAAGGGTTTAAAAGGAAATGGGTCAAATGCTGGCAAATGGGCCTAGATCAGACAGATGTCTGGTCGGTGTGAGCAAATTGGACTGAAGGGTCTGTTTCAGTGCTCTATGTTTCTATGTGTGAACACCAACTGATGACCCAGACCGAGTTGTGAAGTCACATGAATGACTTATATTTTGCCGAGATGCAGTACTTTGGCAAAAAGCTGGTGCTGCCAGTAGGAAGTTTGAAGAAATGTTGGCAAGTGGAAGAGGAAACAAGTTTCTAAACAAATCAGTTACTATCATAAGGAATATGACCTTTAAGATGTTGTGACGTTTTAAGGAATTTAAGGACTATTGAGATGAGCACTTGAAATGCCACAGCACACAAGGATAAGTGTTGGAAAATTAGATTAGAATAGATGGAAGTTTGATGACCAGTATCAACATGATGGGGTCAAAGAGGCTATTTTCATGCTGTAAAAACTCTGACTCTGTGAACTGGAAACTAAACTGCACGTACAACAGCAATCCTACATCAGACTGTCACCACACAGTGCCATTTGAAGACTTCTCTAGCATCATTTGAATATTAAATTAGCAGTAGAATTTTAGATCTCGATTTGGGAGCAGGGAGCAGCATTATGCAATGTGCTGATTATACAAAACTTGGCAAAATAGTAGATTGTGATAAAAATGGTTATAGATCATGAATTATGCTAGAAATTTAAGCCAAAATTTAAAAATTCAATATTTATGTACTCAGTACTAAACAGCAGAGGTATTCATCGTGATCTTTCAATCTTCATAGGATAGAATAGTATTGTGAGAAGACTAGTTGATGTCCCACCATTATTCAAAGTGTGTGTGTGTGTGTGTGTGTGTGTGTGTGTGAGAGAGAGAGAGCGAGATTTGCAACCACTATTATGGATAAAATAAACTTACATTTGGAAAGGCATAAAGTTAATCAAGAACAGCCAGCACGGATTTAATTATTTATCTAATTTGTTTGAATCCTTTGACATGATAACAGTGAAAGATCATCAAGGTAGTTTAGTAGATATATAGCCTTTCAGAAGATATTGGACAAAGTATAGCCTAGAAAGGTTATTGAAGACAGCAGCTTGTGGAATTAAAACCAAAGTAGCAGTGCTGACAAAATTTAATTAGTGATGTAAAGAAAGGCGTGGCGATGGGTTGCAATTTTTCAGACTGGAAGATGGTTCTCAGTGGTGTTATCCAAGGACTACTTTTAGATCCCTTTTTTGTATTTTGTACAAAAATGATCTCAATTTGGGAGCAGGGAGCAGGATTATGCAATGTGCAGATGATACAAAATGCAGCAAAATAGTAGACTGTGATATGAATGGTTATAGATTTCAAAGTAACACAGATAGGGTAGTGAAATGGGTACAAGCTTAACAGATGCAGCTCATCATACAGAACTGAGGGGCAGCGGTGTGGCATATGGTAATATCACTAGACCAGCAATTTAGAACCTCAGACTAATATTCTGGGAACAGGGGTTCAAATCCACCATAGCAGATAACATCCAAATCCAATATATTCAGTAAAAACCTGTAATAAAAACTAGCCAAATGGCAATCATGTAATCACTGTCAATTGTGGTGAAACCCCAACTTGTTCACTAACGTCCTTAGGGAAGGAATTCTGCCATCTTGACTTGGTCTGACCCACTTGGTCTAACTCCTGACCCACAACATGTTGACTCTTAAATGCCTTCTTGGCAACTGGAGATGGGCAATAAATGCTGGCCTAGTCAATGACAACCATAGTCCATAAGCAAAAGAAAGATATTTCCGTAGACTAAAAACAGCATTATTTTGAAAAACAATACTTGATCTTGGTGTCAAAATACACAAATTCTTAAAAAGGAGACAAAGCAAGGTGATAATGTAGTTAAAAAGCATGTTGGTTGGTTAGATTCATAAATAGAAGAATGGAATTTAAAAACAATGAGAAAAATGGAAATTCAAAAACTACGAGTTAGGACTCGGTAGTTCTATGTACCATACCTCAGGAAAGATGTAAAGCACATGCAGATTGCAAAGAAGGTAATATCCTGATAAAATGACAGGTACATACAGATAAAAAAAATTCTCTCTGATATGTGGGTCAATAACTAGAGGTCACAGATCCATTATTATTGACAAGATGGGAAACCAGAAGGATTTTTCCCAATTCAGCAGTGCAGAATCTGAAATGCGCTACCTGAAAAAGTATTAGAACTGGATTTTAAAAATAATAAGAAGAGTGGGGCAGCTACCAGAGGAGAGGAAACTTGCACGGTTAGACAGAAAACAGTGCAGTGCGACTAAATATGCTTGAGCTTTAAAAAAGCCAACAAGGGCATGATGGGCCAAACAGCTTCCTGTACTGCAAGTTTCTGTGGCTATAAGTATTTAATTTCATTATAGGCTTCATTCACAGCTTTAAACTTAATCTGCAGCAAAATCGCAGTTACAAACAAGCCGATTTAATCCTCTACTGAAAATTTTGACCATTAGGTCAGTGAGAATTTGAGAACTTGTTTTGTTCCAAGCATTTTTGAACCTCAAAGCCCACTACAATTAACAATTTCCAAAAATACCATGCACAGAAATTATACCTAACTAGTACAAGTTAACCATCAACAAGAATGTACAAAATAGGGAATGATTTTGACCTTTCACCTTCATCTCTGCTGCACACCACCTGTCTCCCAGACAGAGATGCATTAAGGTCTTTTTCTGTTGCCCTTAACCCTAGGGCTGGGGCCCACGAGAAGGGACTTTACAAAGAGGTCAAGTCTGCATTTTGGAACACATTTTTTGTCTTTTTAAGAAAAAAAAATCTCTGTTGGAAACTGACTTTCATTCAACTATTTAAACTGCATAATGAAATTTGTGAACTTTACAAAACTGAGTTTTGTATAAGTAATGTTTTAATAAGGAGAAAAACAGGCATGCAGTCGGTCAATGCTGCAGTTGGCTAATTTATGTAGTGCTCACATTTTGATTGCAAAGCCATTTATATGTAGAAGTGTTGATCGTATAGAACTGCACTTCAGTGTGTTGAACTTCAAAACTAGCTGCCTCAATAGGTTGCAAGAACAGGGCTTTAACTTTAGTGTAAATAATCCATTAAAGCTTGAATGCAGTCCTAAATAAATGAAACATGGTAGACTGAAAGATTGGAAGATACAACAAAACATTAAGGGGCCTTAATATTGAAGCTGAATTAAAAACAAGTTTTGCGTGTCAGTGCTATCCAGGTGACTTACAACCACATTCATTAGCTCTGAACTGTTTTATTCTAATTTCCACATAAGATTACACCTTGAGTGGAGTGCTTGAGGAGACTGATTTGATGCCTTTGCACGAAAACAGTGGATCCCAATCTGAACCTCCATAATACAAGCAACACAGGTAAAAGGCCAGTAAGATAAGAAAAAAAAAAGAACTTCAAACTAATCACCAAGAATTAAGGTTGAAACATTTCTGAGGCTAGCCTTATTAAGATTAAGTGTACAGAAAATATACGTAATTAAATATCAAATATTTGGACTGCGTCTTGTGTGGCACTTGGAATCTTAATTTCTGTTTCAGAGACGACCAATGAACCAAACTCCATCCCTAGCCACAAAATGATAATTCTTTGGTTCTTCTGGTAGCAGAAGTACATGGCATGCAATCAGCTGAAGGCACTGTTAACTATAGTGAGCAAGAAATGGTCAATTTGATTGAAAAAGTGAAACCTTCAAAAGAGATAACAAGGTGTAGAGCTGGATGAACACAGCAGGCCAAGCAGCATCAGAGGAGCAGGATTTTTT